CATTCTCGTCGATCGAAAGTACATTCGCGTACGTCCAATTAGACGAATATAATTCATTGAAAAATTAATAATTACGACCACGCGGAAAATAACATATTCTAGGTATGAAATTTTCTGTAAAGAATAAATATGATTTTTTATTAACACTAGTGTCAAATTATCTGTAATATTTGATGTCTCAAACGGAGATCAATTGGAGGCGAAATTTACAATTTTGTATTAATATCTAATCTTAATAGTAACAGTAGACCTGAAGAAATTATAGAGATTAACTATAGTCTCGAAGTTGCCATCGCTTTGGTCGTATTTTTCTAGGACCGGAGGTGAAAAATTAAGATCCACTTCAACCGGTCTCAGGGCTACTCTGATGGTACATTTAACTGCAACAAGTTCCCCGACAAAGCTAATTTAAGGCCAGCTACTTAAGGAATGATCGCGCACTGCAAATCTGCGGATGAAAATCTCGTTTCTCGATCGGATCACGCACAGATTCTTGCGATAGTATTTAAATTATGAAACGAAAACGCCTCTAGACTACAGATACCTTTGCCTTAATCGAGAACGTCATTTGTTCTAATCCACGACTGTCCCTACTTTGCAAAGTGATCCTGAATGATACGGTACCTAGCAGTTTAATTCTTGGATTCGAGCCTTCGATCGTTTTCTAATGGTTTTTAAAGGACTGGCCCGTGAATCTGCCTCCCCTAATCGATCAACTATACGGTTTACTGGCCCCGTCTGAACGTACACCCGGTATATACGCGCATCGGGCTCTCACCGTTGCGTTGGAACACTTGAAGCCCCAACCAGTTACGGCAACAATAGGCTTTGTCTTCGCGCCGTCGGCGCTCGCAAATTGGTAGAAATCTTGATTAAAGGTGCAATTCCGCTGCTGCCTACGGACAAATATGAATTGCACCCCCGATTCTCCCCCTCCCCCGCCCCCGCCCGCTCACCCCCCTCTCCTCTTTTTACCGTTCCGACAGATGAAAATGGAAAAAACGTGTTGTGCTATGCTTCTTACGGCGCGACGAGTGCGCGGCTTCTTGACGATCGGAATCGGACACTGTATTTAAAGAATTCACCACAAACGTACCTATCTCGACCAGGATTGCCCGATTTCGAATCGATTTCCGAAAAGATCGATCTTTTTCAGGATATTTTAGATTTTTAAAATCGATCTTGCACGCCCAATTCTCGCGCCAATCGATGCTTTCGGTCGAAAATCGATCCTCCGTTTCTCTAGGCCCCCACGAAACATGGATTTTGCTTCTTTCAAATTTCATATGAATATTTCTGTCAGAACTGAATTTTTCTCATTGGACGTTTCTAAACAAACTATTCGAAATTATTTAAAGTTTTTTGCAATGTCTTAAATATGGCAATGCGAATCTAAAACAAAGATTTCAAAGTACACGCGAGATACGAAATTTTGAAAAAATTTTTATACTTTTAAGACCGTACAGAAAGTAGAAACATTTTAGAAACGATAAAAACGCTTTAGAATCGCCTCAGAGTCTATACGAAATCGTTTTCGAGACGATATGTGAACTATAATCGATACACGCCTGAATCTTTTTCATTCATAACTGTTACACTATCATATTGGTTCTTATATCTGTCTTCAGCCCCTGGTTTACACGAAAATATTGTCAAAATCATAAATAAATAGTTATTTTGTAAATATTGTATTAAGAGGACCAAATTTTGGCCTAAAATTACCCCAAGCCCAGTCCTAATGGGTGGTTAGAACCCCTAGTCTTAGCCCTAGTCCTGGTTAGTTTGTCAATTATCGTCATACCTTATAGAGCATTATATTTTATCAATCTTTTCTATTCATAACTGTTACACTATCATTTTGATTCTTATATCTGTCTTCAATCCCTGGTTTACACGAAAACATTGCCAAAATAATAAAGAAACAGTCTTTTTGTAAATTTGTAAAGAGGACCAAATGTTGGCCTAAAATTACCCCAGTCCACGGTGGCTAGAACCCCTAATCCTAGTCCTGGTTAGTTTGTCAGTTATTGTCGTACCTTATAGAGCATTATATTTTATCAATCTTTTCTATTCATAACTGTTACACTATCATTTTGATTCTTATATCTGTCTTCTATCCCTGGTTTACACGAAAACATTGTCACAATAATAAGGAAATAATTTTTTTGTAAATATTGCATTAAGAGGACCAAATGTTGGTCTAAAGTTACCCCAACCCGCGATGGCTACAACCCCTAGTCCTAGTCCTGGTTAGTTTGTTATCGTCGTGCCTTATAGGGCGCTATATTTTATCAACGATAAGATGGCGCATTTATTGAGCCAGCGCGTATCCTTCGACAGGCGATGATTCGATTTTCGTTCGGAGTCCGCGAGATAATCCGATTGCGAGATTACACGGGAATTTCGGATCGACGAGCCATGATCCTGGCAATGGGAAAGGGAGAAACAGCAAGACGGGTATAGAAATGGAATAATAACGCGTTGTGTATGACAGATGCGACAGGACCACTTGCGATAATCCGCCTTGCGCTTATCCCTTCGCGGCAAACCCCAAAATGGACGTGTTCGGGCCACGCGACCCGATCGAAATTGCTCATTAAAGTTCGCTCGAGTTTGTCCGACGAAACGCGTTTTATATCGTCGACGACAAACGATAGTCGCGTTAATTCGTTTCGATACCGTGTATCGTATTTCCCGCTCGATTTCGAAATTCGAAAATTGAACGGTCTTGGCCACGACCGATTCGAATCCCCTGCGCGTACATCGGTAGACCCCCGAAGGCTTCGCCGCGTTCATGCTCATCCCGTGCAGAACACACATCGCGAGACCGAGTCAATTTACATAACGATAATTGAGACGTACATGAAAGCCCGTTCCCGAGTCGCGGCAGTACCGTCTGTAAACGGGCTTTGAATTTCGAGAAGCTTATCGATATTCCCCGTGGCTATGTGTCACCGATACTGGACACTCGTCGGGCCCCGTCGAAACGATTTCATCAAGAAACGTTACGCCCAACACTTTTCAACGTTTATTCATTCATACGTTAATTCTTCGCTTCAAAGCGAAAAATCGTATCCATCATTTGCCTCGTATCGATAGTCAATACCGAATTCTAAGGGCAGAACGAAAAAGCGTTTTTCTGTTAAATAAATTCGACTGTATTTTGTTTTTACGGAAAGTGATTCACTCAATTAATGACATCATTTTCAACAGACTCTGTTACTTCCTTCCATCGTTCCGGTAGCCAATTGCCATTCGTCGTTATTCGACACTGAAAAAAAAGAATTTGTTAGAGCGAGGAAAAGATTAGATGTTACGATAATATCGATAACCTCAACACTTTTATAAACGTAATGCATTAATAAGCGTAAGCCCGTGTATCTCGTATTTTTCTTTCCTTGTGTAAATGATAATGAAGATTTATAAAAATCGATACAAATTACTATTGCAAATCGTTCCCATGTATCGACAAATAAGCCATCTGGCAGCCATCCGTGCAAACTAGAAGAGTTTCAATAATGATGTAGCTACGCAGAAAATTCAAACATAAATTAAAATACATAGAAACAACTTGTTATACAAATCTGTAGGAATTATTCTAATCATATGGTGTAGGGATAGTATACCTATTATCCTCGACAAGGAACAGGGTAGACCATTTATCTTATGGGAGTTGGTGTGAACTGAAATACCGACCTAGTAAAACATCAATAGCTATCCAGCGAGAACTCATTGTTTAAAAAGCAATGACTGTAGAAATTATATCCAATCATAGACAAAGTACAAAATACATTTATCATTGTATAGAACTAGAGATATACCTCGTCTGTGGTGATTTCACCTTATGGACTTTCGCGGCCGAATCTGACTGCCATACCGACCTGAAAATTCAGTGGTGACTTTAGCGTCCTCTTCTCATGGATGGCGGTCAGTTGAGAAACTATTCACTGAATTAGTATTGATTGGCAGCAGCTGTAGTGTGTGCGTGAAGCCCATAGGGAGAGATTGAAATTCATTTCTAAATCTGTTGGTAACGTTGCGAGTGACACGAAAATGGTAATGGGGTTTCGAGACCCCATAAAAATGGGCCGAAAAAATACATTGGGTGAAAGATCTACTCGTATACCTCGTCTCTGACAATACTCTAGAATCTTTGATGACTCAATGAGAATCAAAACTAACCTACTGAAAAAGTTCTATATTTATGATAACCTATGCAAGGCGGATCACAGCCAATTTGCTAATATTATTAGGTTTTAATTAGTAATTGCATTACCCAGCTAAGAGTGATACGATTATTAATTAAACGGTAAATAATATTACCCAGGTCTCACCACGTGAAGGTTGCTGCGAATGGAAACCCGCCCTAACCGAATCCCAACTATGGATGAACACTTATATCATAACTACGGCGTAAATGTAAGCCATGTAAACATAGTCGTAGAGTTACACAAGCAAGTATAACAATAGTACAACAGAAAAAAAATTTCGTACAATTGTTATTCAGCTAAACGTGCAAAAACCTTTGTTAATTCAGCGAAGTTTATGTATATTCTTAATAATGAGTTACATCTTTGTATTGATCCCTCTTCTGTCTCTTTCGTTCGCATTTGCGTTACAGAACTGGTGTAAGGTACTTCTCCTATATTCGTCACCAGAGGGTTGTTCAATTAAACCCTGTTTCTCACAAGCTCCCGATCCGCTAACTATCCAAATGTGTAAATGCATTGTTTGATTGACCATTTAATATCTTACCATCGAAAACAGAGTCTGTTATATCACTTAGCTTTACCAACGATTTCTTTAGCAAGGCTTGAACGTAAACGGATATCTTAGAAAGCAATACAACGTAAATTCGTTTCTGTTCTCTAGAAACGCAACCCAACTCTCTAACATTTCATTCATTCAAAGGCGCCACCTACCAGTGCCTCTGGGATTAACGAGTTATGCTTGTTTTAGATGCAACTAGAGGGCGTGACGAATATGATGGTGTATTGTGATGCGCAGCACATCGCTACAGTAGTTTGTATATTATAATACAAAGACAATGTTTACGTGAAGCGAAGTTACAGTGCGGCTATCAACATTGCACATTCTACTTAAATATTGAATCTACAAAATAGGTGTCTTTATATAGTACGTATATCTACATTTAAACATTATTTATCGCAAAAATATTGTTATAACTTGTAACTTTTTGTCACTCGTTTATAACTTGATAGAAAGTATTCCGAAAAAAGTTTTCAAATATCAATTCAAGATTTCCGAGTATGTATACAAACTATCTACGCTAAAAATTTCAATAGGCATGAACAAGGTCAGTAGTAACGTAGTGAGGGAAGACAAAAATTAACCCTTTACCAATTTAGTGCGTCGCTCAGAATGGAAGACGCACACGACCGACATAGATTTATGTTGTTTCAAATTCTTTTATAACAAGAACTGTCTGTTGAATAGAAGGTACTAAATAACAAAGAAATACATATAAAACGTATTATAATCAATTTTTTACAATAATTTCTTATTAATTTCGATCGTAAAAAAAAATAAACATACTTACCATACTTTGTGGTTGTCATTTTAATTCATTGTTCAGATGTTAGAATAATTATGTGAAATACATACGCATAATATTTATGAACGACGAGAGGTCAGACAAACATAAAAAAAAACAAAGAAACTAAATAGATATACAAAAAAAAATTAATAGAAGATACTGTAAACTTAAAATGAGACTTACCCCAACATTCAAACTTTTTAACTTACCTTCCTGTTTTATTTTTCATAAAGATCATAAAGATTTATTATATTAAAACATATAAAATAATAATTAATAGGATTCTGCATACAATAGATATAATATTAATGCATGCTGAAGCACTAAATTATAGATACAAAATAGTATTATTCATAAATACCAAAGTTATAATAAATAATCCAAACTTTTAATAAGTAATTATACTATGTCATTCTTAAAATATTAAAAAATAAAAGTTTAGGTATGTCTAACAACATTTTAAATTATAGGTACTTTTTATCGCAGGTAGTTCAATAGGTATTGCAAACTGTATGCATTTATGAAATATGTTAATACAGAAAACATAAAAAATAAATGCAGCATATATATTAATATTAATATTTAATCTATATATGTTTAAAATATATTTTCCATATTCACATATACCATAAATGCATACAATAAGTAGTCTATATATCATAATACTAATTTTTTCGTTAATGTTGTATAATTGGATATTATAATTCATATTATACTAAAAATATAAATTTTTAATGATTACTAAACTTATGAAAATAAAATAACCAATTAAACTTTGGTATAATACATCTTGAAAAAATATGTGAAAATACAAATATTTTTGTGTAGAAAGGAAATAATAAAAGCATATCAGGTTTCTTCATTAAACATATCTGTAAAGGCCAGTTCTTGAATATAAACAATATCACTTTTCAGTAACACTTTTTGTGTTGAAAAATTGGATACTTTCTCTTAGGTAAATAAAAAATAAAAAATAAAAAAAAAATTAACTAATTATATTTTATTTCACAAAAAGAAGGTTAAATCATTAAAGACATAATTATTAATAAATGGTTCATTACTAAATCTCCCTCGTGAACTAACAATATATGTTTAATTTTCTGTGATATTCTGCAACTGAATTAAAACAAAATCGAGCATTTACTTCAGAGAAAATGGATGATTTAACCACATTTTTCTACTCTACTAGTGTATGAGCATGTCATTAAGCTATGGATAAGTTTTATAAAAATACTCCTCTATGTTTGCTATATTGTTTAATTTTAACTCTACCCCTCTTTTTCTTCTTCTCTATAACTGCTTCGTCACTTTCATTTGTGGACTTAGTGTCAACCAAAGGAGTAATGTGTTTGTTGTAAAGTTCCAACATATTTAGACATGACAAGTGTGCACCTTTAAATATCACGTTATCGCCTGATACTGAAAAATAGAAATGCAAAAAAAAATCATGATTTTGCTGTTCTTGATTCAAACAATATTATTTTATACAATATTAGGTTTTTGAATTTTGTATGTATGATTTTATTTCATTTATTTACTTTAGATATATTTTTAAATTCTTATACGTATATTCCTTTAACACTTTTATATGTACATTAAAGTGAAAAAAAAAAATTATTAATTAATGCAAAAATAATTTTCAATAAAATGATTTAATACTTACTTAACTTCATTGTAACTGTTGGTTCAGATTGGTCAGAGACAATTTGTGGTTTCACAATGCAATGTGCATTTGTTGCAATTATCTTTGGTGTCGTAATTTGAAAAAAGAAATTTCTGCAAATATATATCACACATATACTTTGTTATTAAATAAACTTTCATTACTGGTAATAGTAAATGTTTTTGTTTAATCCATTAAGTGATATTAGTTTTGAAATTTATGTTTATTCTATTACATTAAAAAATATGATAACTTTATACTGCCCTTTACTTTTGCAATATTTCAGGAAATATGGAACAAGTGAAACAAAAGAAACAATTCAGAGAAACTAAACAACTACAACCATTTCCAGTGGACAAATATAATACTCTGCTTTCCATGCTTGGGGAGGTATTTGGACAATGTAATGGTAAGTTTAAAATATTTCCATAATTATGTAACCAAAGAGAATTACAATAGTATAGGATGAGCTGTTTTCAATAAATATTTTGTACTAAATTCCCAAGTAGATAATTTATAGCGCAGAAATTAGTATTCACTGAAAGTCCTATTAGATCATGATTACTTAGTTATTACATTGTATAAAAAAAATACTATCGTTAAAATTGTTTTTAAAAATTAGTTTTGATGAACAAATTGAAAATTTAATAAAAATTAATTACTTTACACAATAAAACACATGTGTATATTACATTATGATAAAAAGTATTCTTTAGATTGTTACAAGTAAAGAAAAATGTATTGTGCCAGCAGAAACTTTAGTATAGCCTAAAAAACTAGAACTGTGTTTATAATGATTTCTTTGAAATTGATGATTGATATCATCGAATATAGTCATATCTTTGCAGAATATGAAATTATTTAAAAACATGCACATAAATGAGTATTTTTGTTTAATAATAGTACATTTATTTGCAACATAAACCTTAATGATTTATCAAATAAACAGTATGTATAAAATTACTGAAACTTTGATCTATTTTAACCACTTAATTCTCTAAATAAAGTATATTTGGATACATGCATAATGTATTATTCCTTTAACCTACGAGCATTTAAAATAACCAATATAAAAATTACAAAAAATAAATAAATCAAATTATTTTAATAAACTAAATATTGTTAAATATTTTTAACCATCAACCTCAAGGAAAATGAACATTAAGTGGTTAATATATGTGGACAGAGTAACATGCATAAAATTTTGTGTCAAGTGTATTTATAACTAACAGTACATTGTATATCATTAGTTATAGATTAAAGCAAAAAATAAAATTAATTAACTCTGTTTATAAGAATTAATTGAATTACAAAAGAATATTCGTAACAATTGAAACTTCCATGAACTAACCTTGTTTGTAAAGCATTTTCATGGAAGGGATCGAATTTTATCTGAATTGATTTTACTGGTTTTAAAGACAAAGTACGTAATTGCTTTGCTATTGCACTTATGACGCCTTTTGAACGTGTATGAGCTCCACTAAAAGGAAGCGACATTTTGAAAGTCGAGCACGAACTCAACTCTATTCGTTTCCTTTCGAGGATCCCATGATTTTGGTTCACGTTATTCCCTTCTAGTAGTTGCATGGTCGAAGCGTTAGGTGGAGCTGCTAGATTATACGACGCATGGCACAAAATGAATCTTTCTGTATGAAATATGTTCCATGGACGGTAGAATGAATGTAAATAAAACCACGTAAATGCGGTAGATCTGTTTGACCAGAGATTATTTCCAGATATATAAAAATAGAAAAAAATTGATAAAAGTTATTATTTATGTATATAAATAACAATTAATCATTTCGCAAATCTACATGTGCTATGTTAACGAAAGAAAGTATATAAAGATATCAAATAAAGTAACAAAAATAAAAACATATTTATAAACACGGAAACATATTAAATAACAATACAAAATATTCTTAAAACAGAAAACTAATAATTAATTATATGAACTATATTCGTTTATATTAGTAATATTAAATTCAAGATTATTGTCAACAATATTGTCCAATTTTTAATAATCGTATCACACGAAGCATAATTTTTATTACGTCGTATTACATTAAATAATACATTTCGCTTTATATTGATATTAATACGATGGTAAGTAAGATAAAGTATAATTTTATTACAACCATTTGGCATCATTGCCTGTAGTAAATCCCTGACTAAAATCATTTCGATATAATGGGGGCAAATAATGTTTTAGCCAAAATTCGTTTATATCCAACTTTGTTTTATGGAACGAACTACGTTATACTGTTGTAATTACTTTATTTTGTTATTAAATTTTTATTTTATTATAATATTATAATGTCATTTTTTATAATATCACATAGATATATTAGATTGTAAGAAATCAGAGTCTGAATGTACAAAATATGTATATAGTATGTCATAAAAGTTTGCCTCTACACCTCTTAATCTAATACCTTTAATTTGACTAATTTAAACAAAACTTTATGCAGAGGCCAAATTTTGAAACACTCGTTTGGATTTCTACATAACGTTATTGTGTTTAAATGTCGTATTATAAAAGATGAGACCGAGCTGGAAAAAAAAAAACAAACAGTGATCATGACTTTTGATCTCGAATGTCAAATATAAATTCCATCTTTTCGTGAGGTATTACTGTATTTATAAGTCAAACTTCAGACTCTCTGGCGCACGCCCACTGGCTCGAAGCCCTCTAGTAAATCCAGGACGAAACGCAATTACTTTTCCTTCCTTGCGCGGCTAACAGAGGGCAGATACAGACGGCGGTCATTATTTTGTGTCGTAAAATGCGCCCATAGCAAAAAGCTTGCGCCTCTGACTTGAATGTTTTCAACATTCCTCATGGAATTTATAATCAGTTACGTGGCGTGCGAGTGAATCGCTGAAAAGAAAAGCCGTAGAAAAGATGCAACGCGCGAGGTGGAAGGTAGTAGAGGAGAGTGCATCCGAGAGAGCTGGCGAACGAAGGAATGAAGAAACGGCGGTGCGTACCATGGGAAAGACGAGAGGGAAAGACGAAGGGGATAGGACTACTGGACGGAGGTTAGGGTCAGTAACAGCATGCTGGACGAAAGGGTTGAAGGCGTCAGGACGAATCAGCTCGGAGGGTGAGCGAAATCCCAGCAGTACACATGGTGGACTCGCGCATTGGTTGCGCGGTAGTAAGACGTGTTACGCATTGCACTGCCGAGAACAGTGAACTATAAACACTTCTGTTTACCAACAAACTTGCGGCATTCATTCCCTTTTGAGGGGCTCATGACTCGATTCACGCTACCCCTTCTCTTTCACAGTGCACTTCTAGCGTCACACGGTTGTAACGCTAGTCGCTAGATGTAGTTACTACAATCGTATGACGTAAACGCAGAATCATTCTGCCGTCGATCGTACCATAGAACGGCTCGACGAGCCTTCCTAAACCCAAATGAGACAATCTGGATAAATCGCTACGAAATAATAATCTGTTTGTATTTCTACGATATTTAAAGATAGATTCTTAGTCAAATGAACAAAAGTTGTAAATTTCTAGTTTATTTAATAAACCTGTATCGTTGAATTTCAAGAATGAATTTCGATAATTTCGATACCTGTAACTTAGACTCGATTGTCTCAAATAAGAACAACAGTTTTGTTAATAGCGACGTTAAACATTCGCGATAGATTATCAATCAAATGAACACAATGTTATTTATTAAATATGTATCACTATATTTTGAAGACGAATCCCGGTACGTGTAACCTAGACACTACTGTATGAAGTAAGAATAATGTCGACGATATTGAAGAATTTCAAGTATTTTATATTATATTCGGTACTGGGATGTAATAAAAATATATTGTTCAACAGTAACATTAAATTATAATATTTATCAAGCTGATACATGGCGGATGTTCAGTATCATTTTTTATTTTTTGCAAAACAAAGGCAGAATGTATGTTATATAAATCAAATTCATTCTCGAAACGCAATTATACATATTGAATAAATAATCCTTTGTTCGTTAAATTAATAATGCCACGGAATTTTCATTTCACAATGATTTATGCGATTTGCCTCGCATAGGTTAGTTGCATCTAGGTTAAATATTTAGAAAGGTTCGAACCTCCGTGCTAGCATGACTGCGTACGTCATACGTTGTATAATAACTACCATGGATGAATATTACGTTAAAATGATGTTATAATTGAAATACTTCTAAAATGAAATAAAATTGTCGTCGAATATTAAATACTCCGGTCACTTATATTAGACGATGCTTTGAACAACTAATTAATGTTATTAATGAATAAAGAATATAAATTATTTCAGGTCGTGTGTATATAATATTACTGTAATGTTTGCTGTTTCAAATTTTTTATATACAAATAAATAAATTTTGCAAAAACTTCAGAAATTCTTTAGAAATTTATGCGAAATTTACGAATTTAATTAATTACGTATTTATAAAATTTATTTACTTTTTATTTTTAAAACTATGTTCAATGCATTATTATATGTTAAGATCAAATAACATCATTCTAATAGGAGTCGTACACATTACGATTGCTCGTTCGAGAAAAAATACGATTTATTATACTTATGAATGCGAGAAATCATAATGTGCGGGGGCCATTTAATATTAAACGATCTTCAGTGTACTGTTTGATCGTGATTTAATATCACTAATTCAACACAGCGTTAACTTTAATTGTTTTTTATATGGTTAATTTTGAAGTATCACTTTCTTTGAAAATTGGTCTATAAAGGAGATTAGTAGTATTACATTCTTTATTTTATTAGATTTCAAAATTTCCCCCAGTTCTCAACAGCAGATATTTATTTAAAATAATTATAAAAAATATTATTATACGAATATCATGAGCCCCATCAACGAGAACGAATTATGCGGCCGTGTGATTCTTATACTTTTCTCTGTCCGCTATACTCTTTCCTTCTATTCTATGTAGCTTGTTCTTTTTTTTCTCTCCTACTGTGCTTGGCTCGATAAAACGTGTTTTATGCGGCTCAAACTTCAAGCTATTCGAATGTTTCAAACGTTTATAAATGAATGTACGCGCCTAATTTTATGTTTTTCTTTTGTTACATATTTATATTTCGCGCGTGACATTAACTATGCAATTCGTAGTTCAAAACTTGATTAAAGGCCAGAATCCAAAAATGATTTTAACGGCAATTGTTAATATTGTGAATAAAAGTAATTTGTTTTATTTTGAAAGAATATTAATGCATTAATTTGTAAAGATATTCATATGTAGCTTTTCTGCTACATGCATTTTCGTATTTATACTACTATTATGTATTATATTAATTTAAAAAAAAAATCAGAGCTAACAATTAATGTAATGTGTTGGAAGAATATTAAATTATATAGTTACATTGTTAGTCACTCTGAAGTTTCTGTACTGTGAATATTAATATTTAAAAAATTGCATCACATTTAATTTGTGATTATATATTCGTGTTCTAATATTGTTACAATAATATCATTAAAAAATCGTATTTAGTAATTGTCAGAGGGAGAAGTACATCATACCAAATATGCAACAAGAGATTCAGCAATTGTCAAATAAAAATGTTAACCTTTCCAAACTTGCAAGTTGTTTAAATATTGCTTTTAAAGCCTGTCATCAAGCTTTGAAGCATGCTGCTTTAAATGGCAATTTTACATATTACAAACAGTATAGAACAATATAAAAATAGAAACAAGTGACAAACTCATTGCTAAATGCTCAAAATATATCAAACCATTTTTTAAAAGTAAGCATGGTTGTTTCGAAGAATGAACAATTTCAGAAAAAAATAAAAAATACTCTTTTTGCTAAAAATGGTACAAAATATAAAATATATTGCTTGTTATTTTTTTCTGATAGGTAAATAAATCTTTCTCAATGACTTTCAAAGCTTTCATTTTTCTTTAAGAAGATTCTATTTCTCTTAATTTATCTAATGATTTCAAACTTTTGGTCAATAGTGGTGTATGTTAAAAATTTAATATTTGACTTTTCTTAAACACTTTTTGTATGATTTATTAGAGCTTTTCTCTTTATAAATAGTACTTTTTGAATTTTTTCATGATTCTTGAAAGTTACAAAAACAATTTTTGTTTTATAATAGGCAATATCTTTTTTCGTACTTCTTCGAAACGTATTTACCATGCAAAAAGAGAAATGTGGATACTAAATACATGCATCTACAATTTGTGATCAGATATTTTTGGCATTATTTCTTTTTTTTAAATTTCTAGTCTTGTCAAAGAATGTACCATAGATCAAAGGGATTTAAAGTACACAGTTAGTACAAAAACAGTAGTAAAAGACTACTAATAACTTACCTTATACAGTCTCAGGGTAGTTGCGTTTTTTAACAGCAGTAACAGGTTCCTCTTGAATACTTTTTTCATGTGAAATGTCACTATTAATCAGCAACAGTGGAAAGTAGATAGGATCATAGTATGTCTCTTGAATACTTTTTCTACCACATCTTTAGTTTAGATAGGGAAGAAAATATTTTGCTGTGCTTGCTTAATTCGTCTCTATACCTGCTAAAAGATAAATGAGAACAATTATAGGCTTTTGATAAAAAAAAAAAGTAGAAGCTGGTCTTGAAAATGTAAAATATGAAATCATTTTATAGAAATGTACTGTGCTCAATATTTAGATCACTCTGAATCGAATTATCTAAAATAAGAAAAAGTTTGGACCAGTCCCCTAATATTGGAAATAATCAAAATGATGAAATTATGCTATCATATTTTCAGCTTCCATAACTGGACCCCCAACAAATTCTACTATTGGAACAACTGGAACTAGTGTTGTGACTCCTAGTTCTTTAGGACATGTTCCTATACAACAAACACACACTCCTCCTCAACCTCCTGAACTGCCAAGTAAGTATTTCTAAGTTACTTCATTAATATTTTCTTGTTATTATGTGATACACGTCGAGCGAATATTATAAAATGTTTAATGTGATTTAAGTTGTAAAAATAGAAAGTAAATAAATGTGTGAAGAAAAAGAAGTAGCAGACATTATGAATTTGAAATGAGACTTACCCTGAACATTCAGATTTTTAAACCTAATCGAGTTTAACTTATCTACACATATTAATTTTAATTTGTAACATCTTGAATAGAATCATGATGGCTACCTGTGATATTAAAACACACAACAACATTTATTACAAAGGTTTCATTCAAATGGCAATACCATGAAATACACTTATAAAATAATACTTAATATGATTCTACATATAATGAATATAATATTAATATGTGCAGAAGTTGTATTCACTTATAATACAGTTTTAACAATAATTCAAAATGTATAGGGTTACTGTAACACTAAATTGTACATATAATATTGTTTTAGTATGCATAAATTACATGCAATAAAACGTTACTATAATTAATCAAAATTTTGGTATGCAATTACACTGTTTTATAATTATTAAATATTAAAATATAAAAAAAAAGTGTAACTATATTTTGAAATGTTTAAAAACTACGAATTGTAAGTAATAAATAATAATACATTTTTGTAATTAGATATTTATTATACATTACTACAACGATTTTTTCTTAATTTTATATTCTTGGATATTATATAATTTTTGTTACATTAAAAATACAAATTTGTAATAATCCCCAGAATCATAGAAATACAATAAAAAATACAGTTACTAAATTTTTATTAATATTATATAGTATTGAAAATAATAAATAATAAAATCTTGATATGCCATAGACATTATTTATTTAATTAATTAACATTTATAATCAGAATACTAAGATATCTAATCACTACAATGTAATGTTTCAAATATAAATAATACTGTATACATATAAATATAAAATACCATTTCTCAAAAATAGTTTATTCCAAAGGTCTTAGTGTAATAAATCTTGAAAGAATAAATGCAATTAAAAATCCTGCTACAAAGCAGGCAATAAAAATATAAAATGTTTCTTTATCAAAGACATCTGTAAAAGCTGGCACCTGATTATAAAGAGTGACAATGAGTTTCATATTATAATTCTTACTGTTTGAAGTATGACTAGCCATTTTATAAATATATTTCTCTAATGGTGAGAAATCTAAATACTTTCTTTTAAGTAGATTAGGAAGGGAAAAAGCAATTAACTAATTACATAATTTTTTGTGATATTCTACAGATGAATACAAAAGAATTGGGAATGTTTAAAATAAAAGATAACTTTATTCTTTAACTTATACTTGCATTTGTATCAATTATTTTCGTATTTAAAAAATTACTAATATATGAGTACTTCTATGTTTGCTTTCCTGGTCAATTTTAAATTTGGTCTGTCCTTTGCTTTCTTCTCTTCTGCAACTGTCTTTTCACTTCCAATTTTAGGTTTAGGTGGAGCCAAAGTAGGGATGTATTTGTTATAAAGTTTAAATATCACACAATCATCTGTTACTAGAAGATAGAAATGCAAGAATACAATATTACAATTCTGCTGTTTTTTATTTAAAAAATATAATTTCATACAGTATTTCAATTTTAAATATATGATTTTATCTCATTTAATCCTACTGTTTCATTTATTTACTCTGGACTTATTTTTTAATTTTATATATACATATATTCTTTTAGTATTTGTATATTTTTTTAAATGAAAAATATGAATTATTAATTAATGCAAAAATATTTTTTAAAATAACATTACTCACATAACTTCAATGAAACTGTGGATCCAGGTACTTTGAGGTATTTTGTGGTTTCACAATGCAAAATGGATTCATTGCAGTAATCTTTGGAGTTGTAATGTGGAAGAAAAGATCTCTGTAAATATATCACACATACACATGTTATTAGATAATGTATCATTACTGGTAAAAGTAGATAATTATATTTAGTTTCTTAACTAAATGTTGTGTTTTGAAGTTAGTCAAAATAATTGACAATTATTATTTTTTTTATAAAGTTTTAAGTTGTTCAATAACTTCTGTATTTATCTTTATTTTTATAATATTTCAGATAAAATGGAACAACCAGAACAAAACAAACAATTCAGAGAATTGAAACAACTACAACAACCAGTTCCAGTGGAAAAATTTGACAATCTTCTTACTGTACTTGGGGAGGTACGTGGATATGGACATTGTAATGGTAAGTTTAACATATTTCTATAATTGTGCAACCAATGAAAGTCACAAGAACATGAGATAAATTGTTTGCAATAAACATTATGTACTAAATTCTAAAATAGATAATAATTTATGTCATGAAAATAAGTATTCACTGAAAGTCTTGCTAGACCATGACTACTTATTATGTAATATAAAAAAGTATAGTAATTGAAATTATTTTCAAAAAATCATTCTAAAGTGAAAATTGAATAATACATAGTTAATTTACATGATTGCATACATATGTTTCTCACATTACGACAAGAAGAAGTATTTTTTAGATTTTTGTGTGTATAGAACAATATGAAAAAGTCAATAATTTATGTCAATAGAACCCTTAGTTAGTATATCATATAAAACTGCAACTGTGCTCATAATGTTTTTCTGACTTTTAAATAAAGTCAGTTTAATTCTAAATAATTATACTTTTAACATATTTACTTCATTAGTTTCATATTTTATTAATTCTCTAAAATTGTGTTGTAAGTTTTTACTAATAATATTTATAAATTCATAATTAAATTTTCCACCTATTTTTAGATATTAATTATCATTCAATCTCTGAATCATTAATGAAAACATTCACTATAGAGTGCAGGATATTTGTAGTAATGAGATTGTTATATACTTATAAATTAAATCCAATTCCTTAGTATTCTGGTACAAAAAATAATTATCAATAACCTTTTATTGTCTTGAGAACTAACCTAAACCCACCCAGAACATTAATGTTTAATCATACACATCTATCATAACTATAAATTAAAGTTCTCTATATATTAAACAGTTTACCATCAATAATTCATTTTTATCAAGTCATTACAATCTAGAAAGCACAATTACTTTACATGGATTGTTAGGAACTTGTTCTACCACCCTGTTCTTTGATTCTATGGATCATATAGATACTAATTAGTGTCACATTATGTGCATAGTCTTATTAAACACAGTATGGTGCGTAAAGGGGGGAAAACGCGTGTATAAAACTCAACCCGTGATTATCACTGGTGTAATTTCAAAACTTTTTCTAAAAATACGAACATTCATATCGTCTGCTAGTTCCTAGAAATTTCGCATGCGCATAGTATTGACGTCATCGCATATAACCTAATCTTTGCAGAATGTGAAGTTACCTACCTACTCTTTATTGGAAGACATGCGCAACTTTCAGATTATTAATCATTATGTTTAGTTTTTGAATATTACATTTATTCTAATGAAAACTATAGTAAATGATCAAACTACACATCATAAACGTGCTTTATAAAATTATTGAAATTCATTTATAATACGAAAGTAATACATAACTTTTTATCAAAAATGAATTTTTAACTAGCAATGTATCGTATATTATTTGTTATAGACTTGAAAACGAATGAAATTAATTGGTTGTACTTATAAGAATTAATTATTATCTAAATATTCGTAGGAAAAGAAATTTCAGTGAACTAACCTTATTTCCAAAGCATTATCATAGACGAAATTATATGTTATGTGAATTAATTTTACTGATTTTAAAATCAAAGAACGTAATTGTTTTATAATTATATTTATGAGAATTCTTTTGAACGTATACGAGTTTCACTAAAAGGAAACGACATTTCAAAAATTGAAAATGCAGTTCGGTGCATTCACGTGTAGTATTCGTACTGTTCCGAGAGTCTTATGGCTTCGTTCACGCTGCACCTTATTTCTTTTAACGTTTCATGGTTAAAACGCTAGATGGAGTTCTATGTATATGGTGCATGGTGCAGTTATTTTACCATGGGATAAATAATTCCATTCTACCATTAAATGCATGAAAGAGTAGTAGTTTCAAAACATGTAACCACACGCTATGAAATAACAATATTATATTCAACACGATTCGAAATTGCCGCCATTTTATAGATTTTCGAAACGATTCAAAATCTCGTCACTAGTTGAACGTTGCGTCACAGACGAGGTATACATATGTAGACCTTACACCTTACAGAGGGATTAAAAAAAAGCAGTCATCATTTCGACAACAAATTTGAGCTAGCATTGTTGTTTCTCATTAAACTCCAATACAGGAGCGAGTAATTTGTGGCCAGCCATGGACTCGTTTGTACATATACATCAAATTAAGATTACTTATGCACCTCGTCTGTGATTGCGCATCATGTGATTGTGGTACGTAAGAGCTGTGCGTACCTACTACGTCATACCGTTGAATAACGCCATCTAGTGTTACAGCTGTGTGATTAACAAAAGCGTACTACGAAAGAGAAGGGGCAGCGGGACTTTGTGACTTTCCCTTCTCACGGCAAAAATCCTTGTCGCCGGGTGTACACTGATTGGTTAACTTAAGACCAATTGGAATCAAGCTGGTGGCAGCCATTGTAGAAGATAGTCTCGTTCGCAGTGCGTGTGTAGAGAAGTGTGTCGTGTGGTCATTGGGTTTTGTGTTAAATTTTTTACTTATTTATTAGTGATTATTTGGTATTTTTCATCGTCAGCTGCGAAAATGTATCCTGTAGGACAATGTAAGTATCTAAAAATATATATTTTTTCGTGCGATATCTAAAAATATTCGAAAACGGATTCTCTTGTATTTGTCTAAGCAAGAATAGGATATCGTTGTCGAGCGGTTCTGGTTCTTTGTTCCTCTTTGATTACTTCCAGGCAATCAAAATTTTGTGTAACGATGAATGCGTTAATGAAATGTATGTATAACAAATTCGAATTTAACGAAATTCGAAAAAGATTTCAGAAGTTCTCAAGTACAGTGTCGAACAAAATGATGGGACGTTCGATGGATTTGAATATTTCATGTAACTAAAATAAAAGAATGTACATTTTATACACCCTATATATTGTATATGTTTTTTAAAAGTGATTATACCCTTATAAATTTCAATGTGTATTTTATACAAGAAATGTTAGAGAGGAAAATCTAAACATGAGCTGATCTTGGCTGAACAAAATGATAGGACACTATTAAGAAATTATTATTATTTTAGGAACATATTTTATTAAATAAGATATTAATATATAGAAAGATTACCTTCTTGTTGTACGATGTCTATTAAATGTTTTGGAATTGTTTTATATAAATTTTTATTGGTTTTTGTTTTAATAGGCTCTAATTTTTAATAGTATTTTCTTTTAATTTTTCAACATCAGTAAATTGTCTTTATACCGCAACAGATCGACCTAAACATTTTCAATAATGTTGAGGTTGGAAAAGAGGGTGGGTCATTCCTAAACTATTACATTTTGAAAAATAAAAAAATTATTCAACTGATTTTGTAGTATATATCGAAGCTTTATCCAGCTGAGAAATATATAATGCCCTTCTACAATAAAAACTGTTTGCTTGTTTAATTGTTTTCTATTGATATATTTTTTGTTCATTATAATACCAGCACATACCATAACAATATCATTGTCTATTTGATGGCTTAAATATTCTTCCTGTCCCCTCAAATCTTAAAATTATATTTTTTTTACTTTTTTTTTTCAAAAAACATGAATTTTAGCTAAATTTAGACAGACTTTTTTGTGTTTTTCATTTAAGCAAGGTCGTTGCATAAATTCTTTATGTTTCATCTATTTGGTCTATTGCAGAATACAATGAACATACTTTACATTGATTAAATTCCTACTTTATTTTGCAATTTCCTCAAAATTAAAGCATCACACAATATAGCCCCGCATTTCTCAATCTGCCAATCCACCATTTTACCAGGCAGGAGAAAAATTACATTACATGAAGTATGAAACAAAACAAAATGCAAGATATCTAAATATTTCTATTAATCACTCATTTATTTTGAAAGTAATCAATTTAATATTACAGTGGAATTTCATATATTGAAATAGAATGTCTCGATTAATTATTGTATATGCATTTACAATTTGTGATCTCATATTTCTAGCATTAATGAAATATATTTATGAATAATATTTTTTAATTTATTGTTTTGTCATAAGTTTCACTTCAAATTAATAAAAGGATTCTAAGTACATATTTTACATAAAACTTAAATATTTTGCGATAGCAAAAAACCATAAATAATTTATCTAGTCTCCATCTAACAATAATTAGTTTTCTCTTGAATGTTTTGTTCATATAAAATATCACTTTTAATCAGGAATATTGGATTAAGAGTGTACAGTATATGTATATTATTTCCCTTGAATACTTCTCCTGTCGTACCTTTAATTCTGATAGTAGAGATAATATGTTTGCTTAAGTTGTCTCTGTTACATGGATGCATAGAAACTGATTTGTATAATTATAAAAATTAAATTATTGTGTAAAAATGTACTATACTTTGCATTTAGGTTCTTCCGAATCAAATGATCTAAAATAGAAAAAACGTTTGAATTTATCCATTAATGTAAAATGTAATGTGATCAAATTATAATATTTTTAGCTCCCACAGCTGGGCCCTCAACCAGTGCTTCTGTTGGAACAGCTGGAGCAACTGGGAGCAGTGTTGTTGTGGCTCCTAGTTCTTTAGGACTTGTTCCTACACAACAAACACACACTCCTCCTCAACCTCCTGAACTGCCAAGTAAGTGTTTCCTAATTACTTTTCTTATATTTATACTATACATTTAAGTAATTCTTTAAGAGGGATCAATATGATTTTTTCAATAATTTGAAGCATAATAAAAAGCCATTCTTCATGAGCAAAATGTTCTGTTGGGAGCATATTGTATATTAGATATAATTACTAAATATATAGAAGTACAATGGACATTTCAAGGTCACTTACAAGTTTTAAATAGATTTCCTATCTCTTTTAACATAGATAGGAAATACATAATGAGATAAATTCGATCAAGTTACATGTTGTACAAGTTTATAGGAAATAAAACATGTTTACTAGAGAATTTGTCTAAAAATTACATACATATTTTATTTAGGAAGTTGAAGATCCTCATTAATCATTTTATATGTATATACCTATTAATACATAGAATAAAAATAATCAAGTTAGTAGAAATTGTTATATTTTTAATGTATCAAATAGTATGTATATTTAATATAAAAGTATAATCGAGATTTAAATGAAATAGTATATTTATAAACCATGTATGATGTGTAATGAAATTAATTATAAGTCTGGTTTGTAAATTTTTCTTTGCAAAAAAAATAGTTTTTACAAATGCAACAATTACGTAGCATTGTTAATTAATAATATTTTCATAGAACATTTATCACATTTTATCACATTTACATACTTGTAGCTTGAGTAAATATGAAATAAAATAGATGAATTAGAGATAAAATGAAATTTAAGAGAATAGTGTGCATCATGATGATGATGTGCTTTAGAGTAAAAGATGAATGAAAAATATATTATTACAGTGTTTTCATGTCCTCGGAGGCCAGATATAGGACGTGAAGGCAGACCAATCAGTTTAAGAGCCAATCACTTCCAAATTACAATGCCACGTGGTTATGTGCATCATTATGATATTAACATTCAACCTGATAAATGTCCCCGTAAAGTTAATAGAGAAATTATAGAAACAATGGTTCACGCGTATAGTAAAATATTTGGAACTCTTAAGCCTGTGTTTGATGGCAGAAATAATTTATATACAAGGGATCCCTTACCTATTGGTTCTGACAAAATAGAATTAGAGGTAATTACAATATTGATGAATGTTTGTGTACTTATTTATTTTTAAGCATTCATTTTTTAATGATTTTTTTTTTTAGGTAACACTACCTGGTGAAGGTAAAGACAGAGTTTTTAGAGTGGTGATGAAATGGTTAGCTCAAGTTTCACTGTTTGCTTTAGAAGAAGCTCTAGAAGGACGTACAAGACAAATTCCATATGATGCTATACTTGCTTTAGATGTTGTAATGAGGCATTTACCATCTATGACATATACACCAGTAGGTAGATCATTTTTTAGTACGCCGGATGGGTATTATCATCCATTAGGTGGTGGCAGAGAAGTTTGGTTTGGTTTTCATCAGTCTGTTAGACCATCACAGTGGAAAATGATGTTGAATATTGATGGTACATACGAAATATATCTTTAATTATCATTACTATACCAATCGATTACTTATGTTACATATGATTTATATTATAGTCTCTGCAACTGCATTTTACAAAGCACAACCTGTCATAGAATTTATGTGTGAAGTATTAGATATTCGAGACATAAACGAACAAAAGAAGCCCCTTACCGATTCTCAACGAGTTAAATTTACCAAAGAAATTAAAGGACTTAAAATTGAAATCACGCACTGCGGAACAATGAGACGAAAGTATAGAGTATGTAATGTTACACGCAAACCTGCTCAGATGCAATCGTAAGTATATATAAAAGCAATCGTTTTATTCTAAACATATGCGATATTAACCGAGCGAAAATTTTAGATTTCCGTTACAATTGGAAAATGGACAAACAGTTGAGTGCACTGTTGCAAAATACTTTTTAGACAAATATAAAATGAAATTGCGATATCCACATCTTCCTTGTCTACAAGTCGGACAGGAACATAAACATACATATTTACCTCTTGAGGTTTGTTGAATGTAGTATTTATCATACAATTTATATTTAGTTGACCATCTATAGAAAACAGGTAATGCTTTACAATAAATATGTTAATAGGTCTGTAACATTGTCGCTGGACAACGTTGCATCAAGAAATTGACTGACATGCAGACATCCACTATGATAAAAGCTACAGCCCGTTCTGCTCCAGATCGCGAACGAGAAATAAACAACCTAGTTAGAAGAGCCGATTTTAATAACGATTCATATGTTCAAGAATTTGGCCTGACAATATCAAACAATATGGTGGAAGTACGGGGACGTATTCTAGCTCCGCCCAAGCTACAATACGGAGGGCGCGTAAGTTCCCTCAGTGGACAGGTGAGAGACTTCCAACTCAATCAGTCAGGTCTAGTCAAATCACACATTTGCAGAGGCCTTTGTATTATTTTTGGTAGGGATGTTTTTTGCAACACTGTATATTATACAATCATTTAGGTATGATTTAATTTTTTAAATTGAGATTTTGGATGTTTTCATAGCTTGGGATTTTACAATTAATACTGTTCTAGATTTTCGAGTGTAAGCCATAGCTTTTTAAAAATGAGTTCTCACGTTCTTAAGATAAGAAACCCAACAGTTTCAAAATGCATTGGTACTGGTATGCATATAATATGAACAAGCAATAATACGTATATCACTATCGGCCAGATCTCGAACTTTTAATAGAGGTAGTTTGAAAGGATATAGCTTACATCCGGAATCTTCAAACAGTATCAATTATAAAAATTCGAACCTTAACACATTCACGACAGGCCTGAATTTGTACTATGTACAATGTACCACCGGTTGTTCAGCCTATCGTGAATATGTTAAAGCGACACCACGAGGACACTATTTTGAAGAAAGTTAAATCTTTCTCTTATAATACCGAAATTACATCTTAGAATTTTTGAAGAGATACCACGATCAATAGATTGTGCTCTACCTTTTATAACCTAAAAATGATCTAGATATCGCAGTGTATGTCGAAGATTATATATCTTTGTTATGACATTGAAACATCTATCGACGAAAGATGTCACTTAAATATGGATATGATGTAGTTAGGGATGAAAATATATACGTTAAAACTAGCAAGATCTTCGGAATCCTCAAATGTTTCCAGGATCAAAATAATAAGTGGTATTTGATAAAGATTCAGAAAAACATATTAAGCACTATAGAATAGAAAGAAATAACTATCACCAGTTTGTGGGAAGGCATTTCGAAGGAATCCAAGATGTCGGGGAACTGTCAACTTCTTAAAATTCACGAACTAGACGTTTCTCTAGATATGTAATTAGCACAATAGAATTTCCTACATATAACTCGAGGTTAGGGGCTGGACCACCAATCTGATGACATAGTACTTCAGGATTGGTGAACTGACAACTAGCGACCCAATTGTGGCTCCTCCTATTTTCTTGTTCCGCTCAAGCGTAGAAGAATTTGTCCTTTTTATGCCTGCTGTGCAGAGCAGAGCACCTATTATTTAGTGTGGAACGTAGCAAGCTGTCTGATGGTAGTAGACTCGGTTGGCTAGTAGTGAAACTCTTGTGGCTCTCGTTGGGGAACTGACTATTGTTATGTGGATTACTTATAGTACGAAATTGAAATAGTGATGATACATATAAAGAATTATAATGTATCCAAGAATATGCAGGTGTTATAGGGTTATTACATGCCTGGTTACTTGATATACTGTGCACTGTTAAAAACTGACTCTGGTTTGAGTTACAATTACAATCTATGGATTAAACGGGCACCGTTATATATACATAATTCATTGTCTGACCAGATTGCGGATAACTCCGATTTAGAAGATACAGTAAAACATAAATGATAATCATAAGACACAATAGTAGTAATATAATGTGTCCTCGGATCCCTGAAAATAAACTGCAGTGCTGGCAAACTGTCGGAATACTTTTCAAAGATAACACGGCTTACACTTCAAAGTCTCAAACAGTATTAATTTCTTTTTGTTTTTAAGAATATGCAATAGAAATATGAGTCATGTTTTTAGTTTAAGATAAAAATGCTAGACTAGCTTAAATTTCTTTCCAATTTTTATGCATTATTATTACCAAAGGACGAATTTAAAAAAAAAAAAATGGAATGAAAATACTGTAATGTTTCCCAAAACAATAATACATTTGGCCTTAACTTTCTATAATTGAAATGTATTTACAGAAATCAATAAAATGAAAAGTCACCAAATGAATGCATGGGTTCTAGACCTGGTTGATTTTGATATTTGGGCTGTCATTGTAATGAAGACTTTTTATTTTTATAACATTGACGAACAATGATACATGCAATTATTATTTAAAATGTTATTCGGATCAGTAAAAAGAAAAGTACATTTGTCGTTAACCCTCGGACGGCAAATTGTTTGCCAGGCGAGTCTAGTTAGATCTATAGATGTAGATTTAGATTTTAAACTTATGTTTGCAAATTCTGTTTTTCTTTCAAATGAGTAATTTTTTCCATTGCTAAATAATGTATGCATACAATAATTATCTTTTTTGTTGTATGAATATTACAAATGCGTTTGAGGCGTCTGTCATAATTCTGCCTATATTTGTAGTTATCTTTCTAGCACATTTCAATTTCCTATCAGTTGCTTTCGGTCGCATTTGCAACATTCTTAAGAAGTTCTACATTATAATTCCCACATGTAGAAGTATTTTATCTATGCTTTGTGATAACACTTCTTTCTGTAGTTCCTTCAAAAACGTCTCTTTCCTTATCTTCTATATACATACTACATATACAGGGTGTCCCGTAAATAGTGTAAGAACCGGAAATGGGGGGTAGGTGAGACGATTCTAAACAACAATTTCCTTTGCAAAAATGTCGGATGGGGCTTCGTTTTCGAATTATTAACGAAAAACACTGACCAATCACGGCGCTCGCCTTCCGCGCGCTCAGGGCCGTCCGACCTCGGAGAGCCACCGCGCCGGGTAGGTAGCAAGATGCACGTTGAAAATACATCGAGGAACGAGTACAAATAATTAAAAATACTACCACTGCAACTGTTACCTAATTCGTGAATTACTACGTAATTCGTACGTAAATTACTAAATGGAATTTACTTTTTATTAATTATTTGTATTCGCTGTTTCCAAGGAAGAAGGAATAAAATCTCGGAATTTTTAGAAAATTAACCCTTCGCACCCGAGTGACGCTTCTCGCCAGAGTGTTTTAAAATTAAAATAAGAATTATTATCAGAAAATTAAAATAAATGCGGTAAGAACCATTTGTAACCGTTTGTTATTAAAAACTGTACTGAAAAAGCAGACTGGATTTCTGCGTACCGAAACATTCCTCGAATGTAAAGGGTTAATAGAGAAATAATTGAAATTCGACTTACCCATTCATCTGCAAGTTGACCTACTGCGCTGACAATAGGGCCCGGCCAATGCACCGCTGTCGATCACGGCAAGGTCGAAGACCCGAACGAAAATCAGCTGATGGGCCAGCCCGGTCACTGTACCTGCATCTCACCCCGAAAACACTTCACAGCACGGTCACTAACAATTTTCACTTTCACTTTTTACTTTCGCATACCGATGCGTTCTGTTGCACCCTTCTTCGATTGTTGCTTCTTCCTGGGTTGATAACGGTGCCTGGATGTTGCTCCCTCCTGAATTGTTACTCCTTCCTGAATTGTTGTTGCTCCCTGAATTGTTGTTCCTTCCTGGATTGTTGCTTCTTCGAACCTTGCTCCCTTCAGGATTGTTGTTCCTTTTCGCTGGGATAATTAATGGGCACGATACGTGCGGGCGGCTTTCTTCGCGTTCCCCTTGGACTCCGCGAAAACGAAGAACGTACGATAATACTCTGCGTTTACGCGTTCCATCGCGTGCGTCCGCTTCTGTTCAGAAACGCGTAGGTTCTGTGAAAAATTTTGACTGACAAATTGCATTTCCCTCCCCGAAAAAGTTCCAGGTAAGGCAACCTATTGTCGCGCGATTCGGAATTACCTGCGATCGGCGAACGTGCAGACCATGCTTTTGCCGTGTATCGCACAAAGCCAAACGTCTCTTCGGCTAGTTGACCCTGGCGGAGTTATTTTTTTATTACTGCAAAACTGCCGCAAATGTTTGCTGCTAACCGTGCGTTCGACTCTTCTATTCGAATTTTATGATTCACCGTGAATATTTTTGTACACAAAACATATTTAATTGTACAACAAAAATATTTAACGAAAATATTAAAAAATATTTCTTCTTGGAATTTTTATTTCAGAAATAAAAACTAGAAGAAATATTATTTAATATTTTTGTTAAATATTTTTGTTTTTTGTTGCTCCAATATTTTTTATTATCGCATATTATCTATTATGTAACTGCCTCCTTCTTTGTGGATTATTTTTTATAAACAATACCTTTTTATTTTATACTCTTAAAATTTAAAAGCATGGAATTTTTCATGGTATATTCTTCTTTCTTTTTTACAACAAATTTTCCATGAAAAAATATTCATGGTGAATCTTAAAAATTCTATTAGAAGAGTCGACCGTACGGTTTAGCAGCAAGCATTTGCGACAAACATGGTCTGCACCTTCGCCGATCGCAGGTAACTACGAATCGCGCGACAATGGGTTGCCTTACCTGGAACTTTTTCGAGGAGGGAAATGCAATTTGTCAGTCAAAATTTTTCACAGAACCTACGCGTTTCTGAACAGAAGCGGACGCACGCGATGGAACGCGTAAACGCAGAGTATTATCGTTCGTTCTTCGTTTTCGCGGACTCCAAGGGGAACGCGAAGAAAGCCGCCCGCACGTATCGCGCCCATTATCCCAGCGAAAAGGAACAACAATCCTGAAGGGAGCAAGGTTCGAAGAAGCAACAATCCAGGAGGGAGCAACAACCATTCAGGAAGGAGTAACAATTCAGGAGGGAGCAACATCCAGGCACCGTTATCAACCCAGGAAGGAGCAACAATCGAAGAAGAGTGCAACGGAACGCATCGGTATGTGAAAGTGAAAAGTGTTAGTGACCGTGCTGTGAAGTTTTTTCGGGGTGAGAAGCAGGTACAGCGATCGGGCCATCCCATCAGCTGATTTTCGTTGGGGTTTTTGACCTTGCTGTGACCGACAGCGGTGCATTGGCCGGGCCCTATTGTCAGCGCAGTAGGTCAACTTGCAGATGAATGGGTAAGTCGAATTTCAATTATTTCTCTATTAACCCTTTGCATTCGAGGAATGTTTCGGTACGCAGAAATCCAGTCTGCTTTTTCAGTACAGTTTTTAATAACAAACGGTTACAAATGGTTCTTACCGCATTTATTTTAGTTTTCTGATAATAATTCTTATTTTAATTTTAAAACACTCTGGCGAGAAGCGTCACTCGGGTGCGAAGGGTTAATTTTCTAAAAATTCGGAGATTTTATTCCTTCTTCCTTGGAAACAGCGAATACAAATAATTAATAAAAAGTAAATTGCATTTAGTAATTTACGTACTAATTACGTAGTAATTCACGAAATAGGTAACAGTTGCAGTGGTAGTATTTTTAATTATTTGTACTCGTTCCTCGATGTATTTTCAACGCGCATCTTGCTACCTACCCGGCGCGATGGCTCTCCGAGGTCGGACGGCCCTGAGCGCGCGGAAGGCGAGCGCCGTGATTGGTCAGTGTTTTTCGTTAATAATTCAAAAACGAAGCTCCATCCGACATTTTTGCAAAGGAAATTGTTGTTTAGAATCGTCTCACCTACCCCCCATTTCCGTTTCAACGCAACGCAAACACATTGCCTGCGTTTTTACAATTAATACTGATTGAGGTTTCTTGATGTAAGTTGTGCCCTTTTGAAAAGCTATTCTGACGTTTTGCCAAAAGCCTGATGACGTGCCAATGCGTGTCAGTACCATCATATTTTCAATTAGGTACAATAAGAATGAAACGTCGAAACACTACCAAAAGGACATAATTTATACCTGAAAGCCCCAAACAGTATAAACTGTATGCATACTGTGTTATGCATTTATTGTGTCATTAAATGAAGCATTGTAAGATTCTTCACAGTTTGCCGCAAAAATATTTATCACGATGTTTATAAAATGAAATTAACTCGAATTATAAACGGTTTCTGTAATGTTCTAGGAAGGTTGTTGAGTTCAATTTCATCTAGTTGATGACATATTTGAAGTATATGTTTGTAGAAGTGAACATTTGGGTGTAGGCCTATTTACTATTATTTCCATGTTGGATGTGGTTGAAATGTGTCCATTGTGTAGAGTTCTTTATTAATATAACTACTTTTCCGCTTACGTGTTGGGAATTCCGATTAGTGACGCGTGAATCTTAGTTTTAGTATTGGTGCTGAAAGGCTCTTTCTAAATATAAACAATAGATATTAATTATTATTACTATAAGTAATGATATTTCAAGTTCAACTTACAGTACCCTAAAAAATGTAGTTTTGTTTGCCTTATTTGGCAAAGTAAGAATTCTAAAAAGAATGAAACATTGAGAAAAGATAAGTTTATGATGGTGTATGTCATATAACACTGTACATTTTACAGTTTTCTATGGCAAACATATTTTCATTATTCTTCAGTCATATATTTATTCAAGCTAACGTTCAAAGTCTAGAACAATTACAATATATAAAAGTTAAACATAGTTGAGATATTGTTGACCTTTATTTTCAATTAAATTTTTCCGTAATTAATAACTGAAATATAATCTCAACAGATAAATTTGATGGTAAAATATTTGCCTTAGTTTCAGCAAAAGAGACTTAATTTAATTCTAACATAAGTAATTTGATAGGATGGGTCCAAATAGACTCTTATTTGCCAAACGAGGGTTAATACAATTTGCATTACATTAACAGTCCAATATCATTTGCTACTCCCTGATGCTACCAGTTCCATTCCATGCAGTAGTAAAATAAATTGGATTCTTATTTATTTTGATTTATTATCATATTTTCTATAAAGTTTTATTTATATTATTTAAATAATAATATTTATGTAGCTTCTATACAAAGAAGATAAAGAAGCAATAATTGCATGGATTGTGTAGAAACATTGGTGCATCTACCTTGTTTATTTATTCGAATTTAAAGTACATATTATGATATTCAGCGATGTATGTTTGTGTATATAATATATATCTTTATATTTTTTTGCTAAAGACAAAGCAGCAGGCCTTGCCTACTCAAGGTGTTTGGGACATGCGTGGCAAACAATTCTTCACGGGTGTGGAAATCAGAGTTTGGGCAATTGCTTGTTTCGCACCACAAAGAACTGTACGTGACGACGCAATACGATTATTTATAGCACAATTGCAAAGAATAAGCAATGATGCCGGAATGCCAATTATTGGGCAACCGTGTTTCTGTAAATATGCTACTGGGCCAGATCAAGTAGAACCCATGTTTAAATATTTAAAAATGACATTTGCATCGTTGCAACTTGTGTGTGTTATATTGCCCGGAAAAACTCCTGTATATGGTAATTGTTTAGATTTTATACTATACGAGATATCAGTAATACGTATGATTCTACATTGTCGCATATTTTATTTGTCTGCAGCTGAAGTCAAAAGAGTCGGAGATACGTTACTGGGCATGGCAACGCAATGTGTGCAGGCGAAAAATGTTAATAAAACGTCGCCACAAACGTTGTCCAATTTATGCCTGAAAATTAATGTAAAGTTAGGTGGCATTAATAATATTTTAGTACCCAGTATTAGACCAAAGGTGTTTGACGAACCCGTCATATTCTTTGGTGCTGATGTAACTCATCCGCCTGCTGGAGATAATAAAAAACCTAGCATAGCCGCAGTGGTTGCTAGTATGGATGCTCATCCGTCTCGATATGCAGCTACTGTCAGAGTTCAACAACATAGACAAGAGATTATTCAAGAACTTAGTTCAATGGTGATGTAAGTGAATCATTACAAATTATATTATAAAACTTTGGTTATTGAAATTTATACGATGAGTATCCACAATACTCTTTTAAATTAGTTATGTTAACCCCTTGCCTTACGATTTAATTTCCAACTGTGCGTGCCAAAAGCGACACCTAGGTTTGGCTCGGTAGACTTATCACGTCTCTGAGACGTCATTGTAAGCTAAGGGGTTAATGTTATCTGAACCTCCGAGCTTCAAAAGCTTTTGACTAGGTTATTTTCTAAGAATATATTTTTCTCTTTTTCAGGGAACTTCTCTGTAGGTTTTATAAAAGCACTGGGGGATATAAACCGCACAGAATAATTCTTTATCGTGATGGTGTCTCAGAAGGCCAGTTCCTGCACGTTTTGCAGCACGAGTTAACTGCCATTCGTGAAGCATGCATGAAACTAGAAGATGATTATAAACCTGGGGTAACATTTATTGTAGTACAGAAAAGACACCATACACGATTGTTTTGTTCCGATAAGAAAGAACAAAGTGGAAGAAGTGGAAACATACCAGCTGGTACAACAGTTGATATTTGTATAACGCATCCAACCGAATTTGACTTTTATCTTTGTAGCCATCAAGGCATCCAGGTAAACATCAAAATTTATGGCCAAGTATTATTTTATATTTACTTTAATTTATTTGATACGAACATCATATTTATTACAGGGCACTTCGCGACCGTCACATTATCACGTACTTTGGGATGATAATCATTTTGAAAGCGATGAATTACAGTCTCTTACGTATCAACTGTGTCACACGTATGTTAGGTGCACAAGATCCGTTAGTATACCTGCACCAGCGTATTATGCTCATCTCGTAGCATTCCGAGCCAGATATCATTTGGTAGAAAAAGAGCATGATAGGTAAATAAAATATTTTGCTTTAATAATTTAATATTTCATTTATACACTCAAGTTTCCTTCAAAGTTTTTATTTGATCTCTACATATATGTTAGAAATTATATAGTCTTTGAGAATTACGAGACGTTCGCACGATCAGAGTTCTGGGGTAAGTGCCGTGGGGTTCATCACAGGCCTCTTACCAAAAGGCAAAGCCTTCCCCACTCCGTGGCCAGATCCTTCTCGAACATCTTTATCTCAGTACACGTGCCATGACTTTAGGTCATCGGCCACACGCGTCTAGTTCGGCGGTTGGCAATCGGACCCTTAGTTATCGATTCGTAATCATAACATCCGCGACGGTGTCACCGATCCTAACTGCATCGGCCATCCTCTTCTAATTTCCTGAGGCTATTCCTTACACCAAGTGACCTCCGAGACACGTGTACGACCCCGACACGTGTCTTAGCTTCGAAAAGCATTTTGACGCTAACACGGCCAATTCTGACCTGCTTCACGCTCTCGGGAAGCATCAATAAATCGGGCATGTATTGAAACGTGTTCAACCTTTTCACCAAAACAGTTAACGTTGGGTTTGCTACTCTTTACCACGTAAAGCACCCTTCTCTTTATTCTAAAGCATCTTCTCTTTATTTTGCTAGCGAACGGAACGCGTTCCAATAGCCACCCTTATGCTAGTAGACGTAATACGTCCCAATAGCCTATTTCTTTGCTAGTAGACGCAACGCGTCCCAATAGCCAGTCTCCTTTGCTAGTAGACGCAACGCGTCCCAATAGCCAGTCTCCTTTGCTAGTAGACGCAACGCGTCCCGTTAGCCAACTATACTATAGTCTTGTCTCATGTCGCCATCCCTTCCGCAATACTCCATACAAACGAAAGATAGACAAATAAAATAAACAAGAACAGAGGGAAAATAACGAAACTTGAAATTGAACAAAAAGAAAATCAAATTTTCACAAAAGAAATATTTATTCAAAACTGACTATAAAGAAACTAAAATTTTACAGAAGAACTATTTACTCAGAATTAACCAAACTAAAGCTTTTTCCTGCTTTACAACAATTATCTATATCGCTAACACGGCTCATCGGCGCTACCACTGTCACTCTCGACAAGATTTTCGTCTGCACACCATTCTCCATTCCATAGTCGCAACCTATCCTTGGGAGCTGTTTGTGGTCTCCCCGACTCACCAACAATTTTATACCGATCATTCGGCAACTCCTCAATAATTTCGAATGGACCAACGTATTTTTTGTCTAATTTTGCTCCGCGAGTAGCAGCTGGTTTAATAAAAACTGTATCACGAACTTTATATTCGACATTGGTCCGCCGCTTCTTATTAAAATTATTGTTCTGCTTTTCAGCGTTTCTTAACATTCTCTCTGAAGCAATTTCCCGATCACGCACCACATCTATCTTTTCACCCAAATTCGGCAATTCGGCTTCAATATGCAAAGCACTACCCGCGCTGCGCTCTACACCAAACAGCAATCGGTTTGGCGCAAACCCGGTGGAAGATTGTTTAGTAGTATTTAGCGATTCTTGGATTTTGCTAAGTTTATTTAACCAATCAGACGATTTAGAAACTTCGGCCGTGAGCAAATTTGTGATTGTTGCCACGTAACGTTCAGCTTGGCCATTAGCACGCGGAGCCCCAGTTGCAATTAAATGTACGTCGACATTTTGCTTTTTCAGCCAACACTGCAATGGTTTAAAAGTAAAATTGGTACCCCTATCCATCACTACAACTCGCGGTCTACCAAACAGCGTTAATCTTTCTTTAAAAACTTGAAATGTCTCTGCACCACTCAATGATTTTAAAGGTACTAATTGTAAATATTTTGTGAACGCATCAATTATTAGTAAAACATGCTGATACCCATCTTTTATCTGGGCAAAGGGGCCAACACAATCTCAATGTATTGTGTCAAATGGTATCGGTCTTTTTTGAATAGAATGCAGCAAACCTTGCTATGGTCCAGCATGACGTTTGGAGACGACACAAGTCAGGCAATGCTTTACATATTTTTCCACAAATGAGCGCATCCGCGGAAACCAAAACTTCCGAGAAATACACTCATATACTTTTTCAAAACCCACATGAGAGTTTTCATCATGATACAGCCGCAATAGTGCAATACGATACCCTCTCGGAACATAAAATCTTAATAAAATATTTCCCTTATCACTACATATTTTCCGACATAAAATATTATTTGATACACAATAATCGCTATTAACTGCGCCCCCTGTTTCAACTCGATTGATTAAATTTTGGGTTTCCTCATCATTCTTTTGTGCTATCCTCATCCAAGAATCCGTGGAGATTACATTTTTATCTATTCGCGACACATTTACATGTTGATGCTTAGGTGGATTTCGACTGAGAAAGTCAACATGCTCAATACACTTTCCCTTTCGGTATTCTATATCAAATTCAAAATCTTGTAAATATACCCACCAACGAGCAATGCGAGGTAAAATATTCTTTTTATCTTTTGTCGCTTTTAAAGCATTACAATCTGTTACAATTTTAAAATGAATCCCAAGAAGATACACTCGAAAGTACTTTAAGGCATTCACAACTGCCAAAGTTTCTAATTCGTATGAATGATACTTTGATTCTTCTTTCGTTGTACGGCGACTAAAATACGAAACAACACGCAATTCCTTGTCAACTCTCTGAAATAGAATCCCTCCATAACCAATCGAGCTAGCGTCTGTGTGCAGTTCGGTCTCTCTACTCGGATCAAAAATTATTAATAATGGCTGAGATATGAGATGGTCTAATACATATTGCCGCGCTACATTTTGCTCATTATCCCATGACCACGGAACATCATTTTTAGTTAATTTGGTTATACATGCTGTCCGTACTGCAAACTCGGGAATAAATTTCCGAAAGTAACTCGCGAGGCCCATAAACTGCCTAACTTTCTTTACGTCCGTGGGAATCGGTGATTCTAACAGCGCGTTAACTTTACGTTTCCCTGGACGGATGCCTTCTGCAGATACTTCTCGGCCTAAATACTCAATTGTAGTCTGGAAAAATTTACACTTTTTTACATTTAAAGAAAAACCAGCAGCATCTAACGCGTGCAACACGGATTCTAAATACTTTAATCCTTCCTCGTCGTCCGCTATTGGTATCTGATGAAACCCAGAAGCCATATCCAGCGTGGTAAAATATTGTCCTCGTCCCAATCGGTCTAATTGGTCGTCTATCAAGGGCAACGGATATCTGTCTTTAATAGTGATCTTGTTCAGCCCGCGATAATCTACACACATTCGAGTACCGCCATTCGATTTGGAAACTAGAATAATGGGACTCGCGAACGGCGAAACACTTTCGCGAATTATACCGTTTCTTAACAATTCGTCAATAATTTTGCGCACTTCCGCTCGTTGTGAAAACGATAAACGATAGGGCTGGTATCTCACTGTTTTGTCCTTTTTCAATGTGATTTTTAATTCCCCAGTACTTACGGTTCGAAGTTGATACCCTTCCCCAACCATCTGTTTATACTTGTACAACAGGCTCTCAACGGGCTGACTAATCTCAAGTGGCAGGTTCTCGAGCATGTTGCACCTCACAGGCTCCTTCTTTTCTTCGGCTACCGGTTCCGACGGAAAGTGTAGCAACCTCTTCTCCCCGTTGACCTTCTTCACACAGAGGTTTTCATAATTTAGGATGTCCTCCCCGATAATGACATCATACACCATAGCCGAGTCAGGCACCACCAGAAAATCAACCTCAGCTGCTGTGTCTTCGGTCTGAATGGTTACAGCAGTACGGCCGACGACAGACACGAGGCCCCCTCCGAGACCACGCACGCTTGTAAAGTGCGGCAAAATTTTGCAATTTGCCTGCTTCGCGATCTTCTCGCGAACCATAGAACAATCCGCGCCTGAATCCAATAAAGACTGCACCAACAGATCGCGGAACAATATGGGGGTCAGTCCCAGTTCTTTAATGCGTGCAGCATTCGCCTCTAATTTTTTTGAATCAGCGTTCGCTTTTTTCCGAGGCGGGTCATCTCGCATCGCACGCTGTTTCGCCCAACACTGGCTCTCCTCGTGCCCTCGCTTGAGACAGAAGGAACACACAGGACCAGTCGGGAACCTTTTCGCCGTTTCCCGAGACGGCTCGTGAATGTTTTTTCTTTTCTTCGGGCACTCCCTTTCTATGTGTCCCGTTTCGTCACACTCGTAACAACGCTTTCGGGGGAAATTTCGCAGCCGCGCCGACACTACACGATCACTCGAGCGTCTCTTGTATTCGCGCACTTGTCCTCCACGATCGTGTATTAGATCGCGATCGCGTTCAGTGTCCTTTTTCGGCACTTTCACAAAATTGCCCATTCCGCTAAGCAAATCAGCAATAGAGGTATAACGGGCATTCATCAAGGATTGTCGCACACTTGCGTCCATCACATGACCAATAACTAAACTAATTAGTTCATGCGGCTTAAATGCTATTTGCGTTTGTCCATAATATTTGAATTTAGTACGCGCGTATTCAGTATACGAACTCGCCGAATCACTTGTATACGAAACTGCGCGCGTCAAACGTTCACAAAGGCGATCCTCGGACACAAACACGGAGCAAAGATCCTCGCGAAATTTTTGCCACGTTCGCGGATTGCCTTCCCATTCCCTATACCACTTTTTCGCGGGGCCAGCTAAAGCATGGGTAGCCAGACTCAATCGTTGAGTAGCTGAGAGTTTATCAGTTATTGCCTCAACTAGGTCACACCACTTATGCGCGTCCTCACCGATATCGGTACCACTAAAATCGGGTATTGCCTCAACGAAACAATTAGGCGTCGGGGGCGCCGAGGAAGCTACTGTAGGAAATAAAATTAAAATGTAGATAAAGAACGTTAAATTTATTTAAACATATAACAAAACGAAAACAGTAATTACACGCTACGTCTCAACTCTCGTGTCGACTCTTCGACGACTCGCTCGACTCTGCCTTTTTTCAGGGCCAGCCAC